GGTCATTTCACACGTCACAACAGGACGACAGTAACAATTCGACCGATCGATCAACAACCAGCCGTCAGACTGCTCACGTCCACCTCATCCCCTATCGACACAAGGTGAACAAACATCAGCCAATCAGGCAACGTCACATCTCTACATGACTCAACGACCTATATAAGGAAAGGGACACTCGTAAGCGCTCACCCAGTTACTGCATTGAGAATGTCACCTCGATTGGTGATGAAACGTTTGCAATACAATTGCCAAGCTCGACGAACAACTGAACACCATGTTATACTACCCGAGCTACAAAAACAACAATCAACACTGCTGTTTACAAAACTGTCATATACATCTATATTTGCTATACGGCTCCTCGGCCAGTAATCAGTACTTTTGAAAGAAAACACGACGTAAATAGCGTACTTCAGATTAAGTTCGTACAAAACCGGACACGTAGAGCGTACTACAGCGTATTGCGCTGTACGATGATGACATGTAAGGCAGATTGGAGAAGCGCTATCGATCGCAGCACAGACCAGAACAAAGTACGCCCTGAAAAAGTACTCAGCTTTGCTCATCATTTTTATTCAACACCTTGGTGAACTGAACAGCAGGCGGGGCGAATCCCAGTCACGAGAATCTGCTATTCAGTCAGCAACCAAAACCGGCGCACGAAAGTACATGAGTAATGGTTGTAAAAAACTGAAATGAACTGCTATTCAGTCATGGAAACCGATAATCTAAGCCCAGGGACATGGAGTGGCCCCATTGGGTCAGGCGTGGTATGGAGTCGGATGACAGCTAAGCGGCACAGGATGTGGCCCCGGCCGATTGTGCATCCGAATAGCTGTATTGTCGGCCGATTGCAGTGTTGAAAGCCACAATATCAGCTTACATCTATGGGGACGCACGATTGGCACGGGCCACAACGTTCTGTGCAAGCTGAGCTGAGCAACTTTTGAGTTAGATTAAGTGCACCAGTTTGTTCCGGTATGTTCATAAACCTGGAACAAGAGTGAAATTCAGAGATGATTATCGAACTTCCTCAATAATCGCCAGTTTGTCAGCGTGTTCCCCAAATAAGCTAATGAAATAAAAGCCAGGAGTCGAATTAGCTAACCTAGAAAGAGTAAAACGCTATCACAGTACAATGATATTATCACGCGTTTTAATATATAGTGCGATGTGGAAACAGCTTACTCATCCAAAGTAAAAACGTGAAATCCAAGAATGAATATAATTTCCAGCGTAAAATACACTGCATGACAAAGAGAAATGCAAAACGGTTCAAAGTTACCTACCACGACGTAAATGGGAAAGTAATTCTGAGGGGTGGCGTTTAGCAACCGAACGTCTGAGTGAAATGTCGACAGGAGCAGCTCGGTCAATGCTGGGCGCGGTGTTGATTTCTCCAGTAAGATAGGCAAGTAGATCCCTTCGATCAGGCAAGAGTACGGCTGGAACTTTGGCATTCTACGAAGGTCGAACAGGTAATGGAAAGCTACTTACAGCAGCCTGCCGAACGTACTGCACATGCTGGAGATCTTTGTTTCGTAACAAATATACAACACTTTCTAGGGTATAGTAATCCTTAGGAGCACCGTCTCTAAGAGCACTGCACGAATATACAGATATTTTTCACGTGCAATTCCACATACCTCCAAACCTGGAAATTCGTTTTTGTTGTTTTCGGCCAAGCGAAATCACCAAATATTATCTCTGTATCGGTCTCCACAAAAGCTCGTTCATTGATATGGTAATCACGCAAGAGGGCCAGTACATCCGCCATGTCGACGACAGGAGGCGCACCAACCGAACGTTCCGCCTGAAGGTCACGACTTCAGTTCAGTTCAGTTCAGGTCAGGTCAGGTCAGGTTGCACAGGACTGGTAATGGCCAC